TAGTTACCATGATCTTCACTTTAGAATACGGATCCAAATAATTAGTCATTCCTTTAGAAGTATGTAGTAACACTTGAGTCATTACTAGTTAGTTACCATGATTCTTACAGTAGTTCTCTGGGAAGCATTAAAAAAAAGTAGTTATTGATTAGTTAATAGTGAACTACCACTTTCATCTGTGCGCTATTACTTACTAATTTGTTAATCAGAATTTCTTTTTAGTTAATAGTAGTTACTAGATTGTTAATATTGTGTTACTCATTTGTTCCTGTGTAGTTATTCATTAACGAAGGAACCGTATTCTAAAGTGTTACCACGCAAATTTTCAGTCGAATCTCAGAAATAACCAATGGGGGTAATCCATCAGCCGGAAACTGAAGTCTCCCCGGGCGCCGCCATAGCAAGCCTTTACCTGCTGTTAGCATTCCATTGACTCCCATTCATTTTGGCGTCACTTTGACAGCGAATAACTTTACATCTGAGGCGTTTAAAGACTCTATTTGTCCATTGTTTATTTCTAAAGAAACACGACAATGTATAAAATGCTCCATTACCTTGTATCTTACGTTATGGCCCCGTAGAAGCAGTTTTTGTAAAAATAGGCTAACGATTGCGTCATAACACGCGACTCTCTGTCGCACAGTACAGAAATTACCGTATAGACAGAAGTAGAAGCGCGCGCACAAACGGGGGTATTTGCGCTTAAATAGTCACACACAAAGTAATGTCAAAATGCCGGTCTTGGCGAGTATAAACGTAAACATACATATTTTTAAGTGAACGTAAACAGTTGTGTAACAGTATAGGCTAATGGATCTGTGTGTCAGGTCTTAAAGTATCAGCAGCCGAATATACTGTACATACTGCCAAATAATGAGATTAAATTAAAATATCTATATGGAAGTTTTTCCCCATGGTATCGTTGTGAAAATTGTGGACAATGAAAATGTTGAGTGGCTAGTAACTTTGGAAAACCACTAGCCACAGTGGCTGGTGAGCAAAAAAGTTAATGTCAACAACCAAAAAAAAAAAAAAAAAAACTTTAGAATTTAAGATGTAATTATGTATTTTCCTGATTTTAATTTCCTCAATGACAAGGAGTTTAATGAAAGATAAGTGCAAGTCATAGAAAATATAGCTTGTGTTCCTCTTAATTAGCCTCACACAACTGCAGTAGACTTTTTTTTTCTGTTTCTGTCTATTTCTGCAGATGTTCTCACAATAATGAAGAGCATCTAAAAGAAAGCATTTTACACTTGAGTTAATACAGAGCAGCAAAACTAAAATGCATAATTTAAATTAAAGACGTATCTCTAGCTTTTAATGTGCAACACAATAGTATCTTTATTTAAAGAGTCAACTGGAGCATGAAATATTGTTCTAGATTATGACAGAGATCTGTATTTTTTTTTTTTTTTTTTTTTTTTTTTTTAGCTGTATACAGATGAATGCCTTGTTTTTGATTTTTTTTTTTTTTATCTATTCTTGGAGGAGACCATCTGCCCAACACTTAAATCAACCCAGACATGCATGCTGTGTTAATTTTTGATCGGCCCCTAAGCATAGAGAGAAATCTTTACCAAGTGTTTGCACAGTACCCTGCCTAGGAGAGAATTCACAAATGCTTATATTGTGCACTCACAGGTGAACGTGTAACACTGCAAAATCATTTTTAACGAGAATTGTCTTATTTTCCTGATACAATATTTAAACAGCCTTAAAACAAGACACATTCACCTGATAAGCATGACTACATAAATTATTAAGACTTGTTTTCAGAGAATGTATCTTGATTGCGTGTATTTTGCACTGGCAGATTTTTTCAGTAGTTTTAAGCAGAATAACAATTGAACACATATATACATACATATATACATACGTATATATATATATATATATATAGAGAGAGAGAGAGAGAGAGAGAGAGAGAGAGAGAGAGAGTGTGTGTTCAGGTAGAAATAGCTCTTTAAAGGTGCAGTAAGCAATTTCTGATAAACAATGTTGAAAGTGGATTGGACCGATCACCACAACAAACTTGTAGCCAATCAGCAGCAGGGAGTGTATCCACTCATGATGGGGGAGGAGAGAGAGTGAGCAATAGGGAGATTTGAAGAAAGACTGTTGAAAGAGAGACGGCTGAGTGACATTACATTCCATGTCGTTAGTGCGTCATCTTCGGTTTATTTTTCATGAAGCATTATTTTGCCTTGCTTGTACTATGATAAAGAGACATCTACTCGAGCATTACGTGTAGGGATGCACCGATACCAGTATCGGTATCAGGCCCGATACTGAGCTCATGTACTCGTAAAAATGTTTCGATACCAAGAACCGATACCAGGCAGCGTTTGTACACTGAACACGGACAACAGAGAGTATAATGGGATAAAAAAAGAGGGCTGTCCATGAAGAAAATGTATCTTATTAGTGGAATATTAAACAAAATATAGTAACATAGCTGTGGTGCGCGAGCTGATAAGAGAAAAACACGCAGTGGATTGAGCGCATCACTTTTTTACAGACGTCAGTGGAAAGTTTGTAGTTCAGTCGGATGTCAATGGCAAAGAAAGTAAAATGAGGCATGATGTAGCTTATCATTTACGTTAACTAATGAGAGAGAGAGAGAGAGAGAGAGAGAGAGAGAGAGAGAGAGAGAGAGAGAGAGAGAGAGAGAGAGAGAGAGAGAGCACTTCTGTTGAATGCTCTTGATTGCTGATCGTTCACTCAGCACGTGTTATTTGGATTCAAACTAAATCGTATATGTAAGTAAAACATGAACTGAATACTGAAATGAATTGTCTTTCACATCTCTTGCTTGTACTGACGAATTCAAGTGAACATAGACAGTATATTTAAATGGGGTCCGTGCCTTCGGTCTTAAAGGGGCAGCAGTCTTATAAACCTGCTGCTGTATTTTAATGTTAATCAAACAAAGGACAAATAAATTACTCACTGCTCTCTTGACTAAATAGGCTACCTTTTGTAACTTTACAAAAAGATCCATCTATATTTAATTAAAGCTGCTGTCCGTAACTTTTTTGGGTTAAAAATTATCCAAAATAATAATAATTAAAAAAAACATAACCAGCCAGTGTTCAAAAATATCTGCTTGCTTTTGCCCGATTCAAAACGGTTAGCTTGTAATAATGATTTTAATTCCAGTGGTACTGGTGGATTTCCGCGGGAAATTCGAGCATGTCTTTGCGTCATTACGTCACATCTGTACACATAAAGAAGGCGTCCCGGCTAGTCGGCTATATTGCGTGAGGATGTTGGAGGTGGACATTTTTAGCCTTTTCTCACAGCATTAAATAATTAAACTTATGGCGGATCCAGAAAGGTTCAAACGACAATCACCAGTGACAACTGGACATTCACCACTTGTAAAACCCCAAATAATTCGGACTTCGGAGTGGGTAACGTTAGAGAAAAAAGAGACTGCAACTGGCCCACGCGAAAACAAGGATAAACATCGGTTCAAAACGGACGCAGAGACGGCTTTTTTTCTTTTAGGACAGGTAAGACATTTCAATAGTTCAATCGTGTAACAGTAGCACACTTGTTCGCTTAATTCACACAGTTACGGAGTTTCCTGTCTTTATTCGTTTAGCTATTATGGTAAATATTTTGTGCTAGCTATGAGAGGGAGCAATTCACCTCTACTCCAAGCAAACCAAACCGGCCTCCTCCGAAATTATATATAGTTTTAAATATGCATCGGATTACAGATACGTGTTTTTTTTCTTTTCTTTTTTCTCAAAGAAAACCAGTAAAGAAACATTAATTTATTGGTATGACAATTAGAAATTAGACTGCACAGAAATAGAAACTGAACTACAGGGTAATCATAGTACACATTAAATGTAGTCACAATGCTGATGTTGATAATTTGAGAACAAAGTATAATTTGAAAGGTTTGACGCGATCGTTATATTTAATCAGCACGATTTACTGCAAGGCTTTCCCCCCTTAGTTGATGTGGATGTTACTTACTTGTTCAGATGACATTTTCCGATGAAAATTCGTATGTTGTCATGGTCATACTGTAGGCCTACTTCCAAAAGTAGAATGTGTGATTCTGAATGCCAGTTTCCACATCGGCGCGGTGACTGACAGACTCGCAGTCTCAAAACATTGTGTTCATCCGCGCTGTTTCATGCCGATGTGCAACTCACGCAAAGTTAATAATTCCGCGAATAACTGCAATTACAGATTTCAAACAGAGATGGCGACAAAGAGGAAAAATGCCGGACTGCAGCTTTAATTCGGTAATGAATATGCAGTGTTTTTTTCACATTTGAATGATTACTGTAGTTTTTGTTGTAGTATCAAAATTGGAATAAAGAATTGATATTTCACTGGTGTCTAAACATTTGTACCACTGACCCAATCCTCAGCACTGATCCTTCTGGAGCTGCTCTAAATATGTACTGTATTATTAAATGAAAGATAAAATATGATAGAGCAATAGAATGAAGAGTGAAAGTAACAGAAGCCCATACAATGCATTTTAGCAGACTTAATTAAGCATGAAAATAACTGAAGGAAATATTTTTTTGATGAACAAATTAAGCCAACTAATATGATTTATATTATTTTGGTTTCTCTACCAATACATTTAAAAATTACAAATGCAGTGAAAATACAGGTATTGGTTATACGGTATCGGCGAGTACCAAAAATGAAAGTATCGGTAAACTCGTTCTGGAAAAAGTGGTATCGGTGCATCCCTAATTACGTGTTTGAGAATTTGGGGGGCGGAGCAATGAGCAATGGTGTGTTTGTTTGAGTTGATTTGGAATATCAACAGTGTTCAACAATGATTCTCAGAAATCGCTTACTGTGCCTTTAACGTAACAATTGCAGGTTACAACTTTTTACAGTGTGGAAGACAATTTATAATTTTCTCTCTTTTTTTTTTTTTTTTTGCATTACAAGTAAAAATTTTGAATTTATTATTTATTTATTTTTTATCTTTTAACTCTTCTTTTTAATGTCAGGGAAGCCCATTGTTCCTGCAGTCTTCTAAGAACGTGTCTGTCAACATCCTCAACGAAAAGAAGCAATTAGTATCTCAACTCGTTGCAGGTAAGCACACAAATACAAACACACTCGAGCTAAGAATTGTTTAAAAACCCTCATGCAACCCCTTTGTGCTAATTACAATGGTCTTGCTCCCCAAGATTTCGCAGACTATAAATCGGAATGAAGATTTCTCGCCCCATCTCTGTGGGCGTTTATATTAGGGTAGATAGCATGAAATGAAATATTCACTGAACTCAGGAGGCGACTATATGGGCCAATCCGCTCACAGGAGGAAAATGAATCCAGGCAGCTATAATGTTAGATTTTATGGGACAGATGGTTAAATGACTATTTTGAAAGAGTTAAAGGGTTATTTGATAGCCAGATTGTTAGAGTCTCATCCTTCTCATGATGTAGCCTTTATAACTGTGACTAGAGACTTCATTACAGCGCAGTAATTGCATGTGCACGGATGCATGTACTATTAAGTCCTGGTTAATAGCAAGGCTATATTTTAATGAAAGTAATTTTGCCTCAAATGGACTAGTTAAGTGACTTTAACTTGAGTTATGGTGCTAGAACAACTGTATACAAAACAAAATTAAGTGGAAGTGTAAGAACAAGTATATATTTCATTAATTGAATTCTAATGTGCATTGTATACTAGCTGGTCCGAAAAGTCATTAAGTAAATTACAAGATTGAATGTGCCAAATGGCAAATATTTTAATTGCTTGCTGCTTGTTTGCAGTAGTATATATTTTAGAGATGTAACGGTACACAGACGTCACGGTTCGGTACGTGCTTACTTCACCTTTCCACGAAGAGACAGCGAGTTAAGCGGCACCTGAGGTGTTCTATTTCTAGGATACGCACATTTCATCACTGGACTGTAGTAGTTAGACTTTCACGACACAAAGCGGCACAATGTCAAATGATTGTGTCTCATAACAGCGGAATCAACTTAAAATACTATATAATAACACTAGATAAGAGTAAGACATTATGCGAAGCTACTAGCAAGCTCTTGCTTGCAGGGTTTGAAATGAACTGTTTCACTCGCTGGCCAATTCGGCTTCTAAATTTTTAAGTTACCGGCCATTCAAAACTTCTTCTAGCCAAAAAAGAAAAGAAAAGAAAACAAAATGAACCAGATTAACTACGTCACAGCATATATATATATATATATATATATATATATATATATATATTATTGTTATTGGTATTATAATACAATTTGGATTTCATACATTCATTTCTTAATCAAACAAAATCCTGTCATCCAGCCATCTCCTCCCTTCCTCTTTCATCCTCATTCTTTTCACCAAAAATGTATTTTAGGTGGACAGATCAATACAGTACAAAGAACATAAAAAAAATTAGGATGTTGGAAAATAATAATGTCTTGTCTGTTAACCAAATGCTTTTTAATCTTCGCTATTGCTTCAATGCAAATGAACAAGCACGCCGTTATTTGTTGCGTAGTGACGTGTGTGTTCAAGTAAGCCAGATATGCACAGATTCTGTGCAATATGCTGTAAACATAATAAGTAACACACCAAATTGGCTAGTGATTTGACAGCGTTACCCGGCCCGCCACAGTTGATCTTTACCCACATTTGGCGGGTTGGTGGGTGTTAATTTTAAACCCTGCTTGCGTGCCATCTGAACTCTTGTTTTGGGTTGGTGGATAGATTGTCTCTTCTTCTTCCGCTCTTTTTCCTGTTGTGGCGAAAAGCAAACAGCGTTGCATTACTGTGCACACCCCCTTCTGGATTGGAGTGTGGATCGCCTGTGACTGACCAGCCCGATCTCACGGCAATTCGTACTAATTTTACGAGGTGGCTAATTCGTACTAATTCATACGACCTCACTCGTACAAATTCGTACGATTTTTGCTAATTCGTACATATTTTACGAGATACCGAATTCGTATGAATTCGTACGAATGACCTACCCCTGACCCCGCCCCTAAACCTACCCATCACGTGGGTTTAGACAAATCGTACAAATTCGTACGAGTGAGGTCGTATGAATTAGTACGAATTAGGCACCATTTAATCACTCGTACGAATTCGTACGAATTGGTCGTGAGATAGCGTTGGACTGACTGTGTTCACCGAACCGTGACGTCCATTCCGTGCCGGTTCGGGGCGAATACATGTACCGTTACACCCCTAACATATATATAATAATAATTTGAGTTAGATTATTTGGGGACACCTGGAAAATGTTCTTCATTAATTGTAAAAATATATTTTTGTCAGGTTCTCATGGAGTTCATGCACGGGGCAAAATGCTGGAGGTAAAATCAAGTGCAGGAAAACTGCTCTTCTCTGCAGACGACCATGAGGTGGTAGTTGGTGCAGAGAGATTACGAGTTATGGGTGAGTGAACATTTAAATTATAACACATTTGAGGGTATTAAACTTTTTTTATGCTCACAGAAAGCCTTAGCCCTATTCCCATCACACAGTTGTTTGGCACAGTCAACAAAGAGAAAGCTGAAATGCTAACTGAGTCTCACAGAACTGATTTTAAGCACAGACTGGCATGAGACATTGTCCTTCTTGTACGAATTGTGTTGGTAATTGATGCAGTGTTATAATTCAATAAGTATATCCTGAGCTTTGATGTCAAAGTCCATCTCACAGATTTCAGAACCCTCCAAAAACAACGGCAAAGCAACTACTACAATATAAGGAAACATTTGACATTTATTTGTTGCTTTCAAAAATAAATTCAATACTATTTGCAATAAAATTGTCTAACATACAGGTTTTTAAACTGGGGTCTGAGGACAAGGAGGTTTGTGGTGGGGGAAAACATTCTACACATGCATTTTTTCAGCGCTGTTAAAGTTAAAGGCACACTATGCAGGAATTCCGTTTTTGTCAAACAGCGACCCCTAGAGTCGCTGTGGAGTACTTGTATTTAACGTTACTGTCGTAAATGCCACTCAAGCAGAGCGTCTGCCATAGACTGGTCTCTGCACTCACGGCCTGATACCCCTTTGAAGCTGTTATATTAAGGTACAAATCTTGCATAGTGTGCCTTTAAATAAGAGATCTAGCGCTAAAATGTGGTTTTGAACTCAACCTGAGCGCTCGTGTCCGCTGCTATCAGTGTCATGGATACATAGTGTCTCTTGTGGCGGCGCGCGCGCAGTCTTCACTCGGATGCGCTTTTCAATCTATCGCCGTTGCAGAGACTCTCTATTCATTCCGGTGAAATCACAAAATAAAATGCACACAAACTTAGAAAGATTTACTTACTAGTCCATCAACAAGATCGCCAGGTCAGCATCACTGTTGCATCCAGTGCTGCTTTTTAGCTCGCGCCAACGAGTGAAAGCCCGACCGAGTGGGACTCTTGTCCGGTTCCTCACGCGGTCAGATTCTCTTTTCCTTTTCCTAGTCTCTTCTGACCGCGTTTTCTTTGCTTTTTCCGTCGTCAAATATCACGTCTGAAATGCGCGCAAGTGTCTTTGTGCTTCAAATGTTGTTGTTGATGTGTGTGACGTCGTTGCCGTAAAGCATGTCTTGATTCTCGCGAGATTTGTCGGGGGCGCTCCTCTCAAACTTGCATTGCTGGTTTTTCCAGCGGTGTCCCCCCCAAGCTTTACTACCAGGATGATTCGCCCTACTATGAGTTTGTTTACCACCGAAATGACTTTGAAGCTGTTATATTAAGGTACAATTCTTGCATAGTGTGCCTTTAACATGTTAAAGTAATCATTGATTTTGACACAACTGCTGAACGATATTGTTGTTTTAATCAAAATGTTATTCCGTTGATTTTTATTTTATTGCTGTATAGTTGATAGAAAGTAAACACTTTCCAGTTTTGACTTTAGTACAGAGACAATATAGCATCTTTATTATTATTATGATTATTATTAAAGGCATATTGGCCCATTTATTCTCTAGTCCTCTTAGAATGTTGAAAGAATATTGGCACAAATCGTTTGGAAAAGGCCTCTCAGTTTTTGGTCACATTTGGCATGAAAACAAGAAGCACTTGGCAGTGCTTTCCAACATTAAAACCCCAGATGGGGAGAATATATATATTTATGTTTTTTCCCCCCATTTATCTTTTTTTTTCAATGATTTATTTTGGGAGGCGAAAAAAAAAATCCTGGACTTTTCAAGGTTGTTTTGTGCTGTATTTGTTAATGGAGCTTTGCTTGTCTCAAGGGTAGAGCTAAACTTCCTTTAAAGTGATTACTCAAGCCTGTGTACATCCATTGTCCCCCAATGATTTTCCCTAAGCCACAGTTCATTACCTTACATCCACTCAAACTCAGCAACGGACTGCAGCGAGAACAGGAGTATTTAGAACTGGATGTTTCTCTTTCGGATTTTATCTCAAGTGTTCCTGGGGTGATGCCACGCATCTGAATTAGTTTGGTGGACCACACAGGGACGATGTGCACGTTTTAAGGCAGTGGCGGATGCAGAACGTGACAGATGGGTGGGCCTGGATTAAGTCGAGGTGGGCCTGAATCTAGGGTTTCTAGATTTTGTATTAGCTTTACTACTAGATAGGTATTATGGAGATGAGAAATAAAAACCGCACTGATCAGCTGTTCGGCCGAGCTTTCGAAGTTGATTGCAAACTGATTGCAAACTGACCCGTCAAAAGCAGGCGGGACGCGCGATTTGCCATAAAAGCGCGCATTCTTAACGTGCACTTTGTGGTCACGGAAAACGTGCGTCAGAAACTCGTGGTCTTTGCATAAAAACAATTAAAAAATAACGTATGAAACCTTATTGTAAAGTGTTACCAGAATTACAACTTGAAATGTTGCGAGATGTGTCTCGAACTAAGGGATTTGGGGACTGTCCGAGGTGCTGAAATAAAAAACAGTGACCGTGAAACCGAGAGTTGTTTTTCTTTTCTTGTTACAAAAACACTTCTGATGCATAAAACACCTGCAGACAGAAACAATCTCATTTAAATAGCAGATCACACGTCCAGGACGCACGTTTTGATGCAAAAACCGCGCGTTTCTGACGCGTGTTTTCCATGACCACAAAGCGCACATTAAGAACGCACGCTTTTAATGCAAATCGCGCGTCCCTTGGCTGTCAAAACGCACGCGTTTGACGAGTCAATCAGACGCCTGACCACGTCGCTTCCATTATGAATGGAAATAACATTTATACATTTGTAACATTTGTACATTTGAAATAACAAACTTGAGCGCGCAAAAGACGCAATATGTGAACGGGCCCTTAGTCTTTGTCTTTCCAAGACATGGTGTTCATGTGAACAATGAGCTTCGTCGCCTCTCCTTGCAATGGTTTCAAAGTCTGGACAAAATACAGTACAGTGAAATGACATAACTGCCAGATTCAAACTGGCTGGCGCTGAGCCAGAGATGGAAGCGCTCAGCGCTTGTCATATATCATATAAAGTGTTCGGCGGGTCGTATATGGCCAAAGTTAATTCATTATTATTATTAAAATTACATTTTTTAATTGTTTTTATGAATCTGATTGGGTGGATAAATAAATCCACGCCTGTTTTAAGGTCAGGAAAATCCTGCTACTCTAATACTGAGATAAATGCCTGTCTCTTTACGAGTCTATAGCTTACAAACAATCTTAAGAGCTCCTGCCATGTAATAGATTTACTCTCTAATGTCATGACAGCTGAGAGTGAGTCTAGGGTAAACACAACTCCAATTGCCATCAGAACACATCTGATCAACTCAGAATACAACTTTACACCTGTCTGTCCAAGCAAGACTTAACAAACACCAATGTTCACTCTAATATTTGTTCTTCGACAACCTCTTTCTATTTGGGCAAATCTTTTAAAAATCTGATTCAACCAATGACTTGCAGGGCTTGACACCTACTTTTTTTCCCCAAGAAAATGAAAACTTTAGGCACACATTAAGAACTTCATTGCAATGCAAATTGATACAGTAATTTGTTTTTCCTTAATTAAAAGAGATACAATGAGACATAGCAATTTTTTTTTTTTTTTTTTATTCAAAAAGTACACTAGGTTTTTAATTATTTCAGCTCCAAACTGTTTTTTTTTTTTATCTAATAATTATGGGATTATGTATATTTTAAACATTGAATTAAATGCCAGATACAGTGTATTGTGTAACCAAAATACTAATAATAACTAGGATTTTTTTTTTTAACTTTTAATTATAAACAAGCCTGAAATACACCTGCTCCACTTCAGGGGGGACTGCCCTCACTGGCTTGAGCCCTCGAGTGTCAGGACCTCTTCCCTCAGCCTTCTTGGAGATAATGTCGGTCCTCAGATCCGTCTTACCCCTCGAAGACTGCGGCTGAGAGCCCCCTCCCTGTCCCCAGCCTTTCTGCGGGGGAACACGTTCTGCTTCTGGGTGGCACGGTGTGAGGAGCTGGCTTTGGAAGTTTGGGGCTGCTCCCGCTCAGAAGCCGCAGAGACATGAGAGCGACGAGGGAGGAGCTTCTGGAAAGCGGCCGCCTGCTTGGCTGCCTCCTGGAACCTCTCGACGACTGAAATTACAGCGTTGCCGAAGAGGCCAGAAGGTGACAGGGGTGCATCCATAAGAAAATTCTTGTCCTTCTTTTTAATATTGCTTAGGTTGAGCCACAGATGCCTCTCATTGGCCACCAGGCCTGCCATAGAGTGGCCGATGGATTTATCCGTCTCCTTGGTGGCCCTGAGAGATCAATCTGTGGCTCGACGTAGTTCGTAAACGTCAGGACCAATTCCCCCACCCTCGTCCATGTCTCCTAACAACACAGCTTGGTAGGCCTGCAGCAGCGACATGGTGTGAAGGCATGCTGCAGCCTGACCAGCGGCTGAGTAAGCTTTACCCACTAGCGAAGATGTGGTTCTGACTGGCTTAGTGGGTAATGCCGGGGCCTTTAGGGAAGATGCCGCCTCGGGGGAGAGATGGCTTGCGAGCATCTCTTCCACTTTTGGCATCACCCCATAACCATACTCTTTATAATAATTCGATATAGAGGAATAGTTTGATGTTTGTGCACTATACACTCTGTACGAAACCGGCTTTTTCGTACCTCAGTGTAGGCCCCGGCGTTGAGGTTGTGACCATGATGGTAGAAAGTGTTCGTCCAGCTTGCTTTTGGAACGAACGTCCTGCTTATCTGCTGGCCAGTCAATACTCAAGTCTTAGTTGCAGTGTCGGTGCCTCAATCGGGGCGGAGGGAACCGCAGCACGTGCTTCCAAACCCTGAGAGAAGGCACTGGACCCATCAGGTGAAGGCAGAGATAAGGCTGGGCCCGTCTCTAACCCTGCTGATAGATCCATTTGCGAACCCCATGACTGTGATCGTCGCTGTGCCTCGGCAGCAGCTGGACCAGGGCCCTGGGGAACGCGAGCCTGAGCGTCCCCATGAAAGAACAC